AGAGAGAATGTTTTATTAGATACTAGAGGCTCGGTGCACAAATTCGTGCAGGGTGGAGGAAGGAACCTTGGGAGGTTGGACGTCCACCCCAAGGAGGGAGCCAGCCCTTGGCCCCCTGGGAAAGGGGCCGAGTCCACTGCCACCCACCCCCAGTTCCCTGTCCCAGCCCAGGCCCGAAGGCCCTGGTGGGGTGGGGAGAGGAGGCAAGGGTCGCCAGGTTAGGAGAGGCAGGAACCGCCTCCATCCTTCCTCCTTCCCCTGGGGAAGGGAGAGGACAGGAGTAAGACAAACCCTTGTGTCACAGGCTGACTTTCAATAGATCACAGTGAGGGAGCTGCTCTGCTATGTATGAAACCCCGACCCAGAAGCAGGTCTCTACAAATGGTTTAGCACCAGGGGCCAATGGGTGCTGCTGGCTGGGGGAGGGGCCATGGGAGGTTGGCTGTGGGAGTGCACTGACCACCAGGGGGCAGCTCCTGCCTTGAGCATCTGCCCCCTGGTGGTCAGTGTGCATCATAGCCACTGGTTGACTGGTCACTCAGTCATTCTGGTAGTTCCGGTTGTAATGGTCTCTTAGGCTTTTATATATATACTAGTAGCCCTGCACACGAATCTGTGTGCTAGTAGGTCACTGTGGCCCTCCTGTAGCTCTCTGCCCACTGCCCTGCCCTCCTGTAGCTCTCTGCCTGCAGCCCTGCCCTCATAGCTTGCTGCCCTGCCCTCTCCTATAGCTCTCCGCCTCCTGCTTGCTTGCTGCCCTGCCCTGTCCTATAGCTTTCTGCCGTCCGCTTGTACCTCGCCTACCCACCCTCCTGCTGATCCATGATCTGGTCATGATACGCTTAGTTGTTACGCCTCAGGGCGTAATGACTAATTAGCATATTCCTCTCTTATTATATAGGACTAGAGGCCTGTTGCATGAAAAGATTTGTGCAATAGGCCTTCCCTTCCCCTGGCTGCCGGCACTGGTTTTCCTCTGGCACCCGGGACCCAGGCCTTCGCTCTGGCCAGAGCCGCCTTCAAGCCTTCGCTCCGCCGCTTTGAGCCTACATATGCAAATTAACTGCCATCTTTGTTGGTGGTTAATTTGCATATCTTGCTGATTAGCCAATGGGAGGTGTAGCAAAGGTATGGTCAATTACCATGTTTGTCTATTATTAGAGTCAAAAAATGATATATTGAACTTCATTAAAATTAAAAGCCTTTGCTGCTGAAGTATACTAAGTATAATAAAAAATAAAAAGATAAACAATAAATTTGGAAAAATATTTGCAAAAAACATATTCAATTAAAGAATACATCAGAATATACAAAGAGCACTCAAACTTTAATAATAAGAACGTAATCTTGCCATACAACCCAATAATTCCACTCTAGCTATTTACCCAAGTGAAATGTAAATCTATGTAGACCTGTGTTCAAATATTTATAGTGGTTTAACCTGGAATAATGCAAAGCTAGACACCAACCTGAATGTCCCTCAACTGGGGTATGGATAAACAAATGTGGTACATCCATACAATGGGATCCTATTTCATAATATAAGGAACCAACTACTAAAACACGCAATGCACATCTCAAATGCATTATACTAAGTGAAATAAGCCATATGGTATCATTCTTTTTTTAAAAAAAAATTAATCCTCACTCAAGGAGTTAGGATATTTTTTCCATTGATTTTAGAGAGAGTGAAAGGGAGAGGAGGGGGGAGGAAGGTGCGGGGAGAGAGATGATAGATAGATAGATAGATAGATAGATAGATAGATAGATAGATATAGATAGATAGAGAGTCACCGATGTGACAGAGGCACATTGACTGGTTGCTTCCCACTCGCACCCCTGCTGGGGGCGGGGATTGGACCTGCAACCCAGGCACTTGCCTTTGCCCATGCCCTTGACGGAGACTCAAATCCCCCACCCTCCAGTATGCAGGGCAATGATCTAACCATGAGCATTGCCATATAAATATAAAAGTCATAAAGGCTTCCTTAAAAAAAGCAAACTGTACAGAAATCTCTGAAATTAAATAAAATGAAAGTATTCCTCTTTCAAGCCCCAATTAAGTAGAAGCTACTTTAAGGTATGTATCCTTTTAGAAATTATCTATGTATACAAAAATACGTGGGTGCTTTTCGTTTTCTTTTGCTTTGAAATATAAATAATTCTATGGATTTATATTAAGAAGCACAAACCCAACAAATGAGTTCTAAATCCACAGGTTGCATTTTCTAATCACATACAATTCCCAAATGCTTCAGGGACCGTCTTCAACTGCCCTCCTAGCCTGGCTTTCAGCATCGCAGTGAAACAGCCTTCCACAAACGCAGCAGTGGCGACTGCCAGGCCAGCACCTACTATTCAGCTCCTGCATTTTAAACTGTTCTGCTCTTTCTTCAACATCTATTACAGTGCCTTGCCCATTCCAGGCATTGACTATGTATTATTAACAACATGCATTTCAATATCATATGACTCATTAAGTTAACAGAACCCATAGATATTAAGGAACTGGGTAGAATTACTGAAAGTATCCATTTAGGTGTCTAATGACTGAAATTATGCCTTCTTTTCTTGAGAACTGAATTTTCTCCCACTTTAAGAAATCAGATAAGGGGTTTACTTGGTAGGCTCCTCTTGCTAAATATCTCCTAGAAATCCAGCAATGAAGTTCAGAACAATGGAAGGAAACTGACCATGCACAATGTCATTAAATGAATTCAGATAATACATTGGTCTTCAAGTGCAGTAACAAAGTGGTGGCTTACTTTGCCGCAGAAAGCCAGGAATCAATCCCGTCTTCCTTTCTGTTTTTGAATTCTAGCACTGCCATTTACTAAACCTCTGAGGGGTCTCTTTAAAAAAATTTTTTTTAAAAATATATTTTTATTGATTTCAGAGAGGAAGGAAGAGGGAGAGAGATAGAAACATAAATGATGAGAGAAAATCATTGATCGGCGCCTCCTGCACACCCCATACTGGGGATTGAGCCTGAAACCCGGGCATGTGCCCTGATTGGGAATCAAACCTTGATCTCCTGGTTCATAGGTCAATGTTCAACCACTGAGCCATGCTGGCCAGGCAAGGATTCTCTCTTTTTTTTTTAAAATATGTTTTTATTGATTTTAGAGAGAGAAAGGGAGATGGCGATAGAAACATCCATCGGCTGCCCCCTACTGGAGATTGTGCCTGCTACCCTGATCAGGAATTGAATAGGTGACCTCTTGGTGCACAGGACAATGCTCAACCAACTGCGCCACACTGGCAAGGCCTCAGAGGATTCTCTTAATGTCTATGAGCTTTAGTTTCTTTGAGTGAAAGAAACAAAAAAGGATAATAAAACCTTTCTTGCACAATTAGTGGAAGAATTACATGAGATGGCCTTTGTCAGGCATGGAGTGGGCATAAAATAGAGTGGTTGAAGCATAGGCTCTGGAGCCAAACTGCTTCAATTCAAACGCCAGCTCTATACCACCTATGCTGGATGACATCGGGCAAATTACTCAATCTCTCACTATTCCTCAGTTTCTTATCTATAACATCAGACAAGTAATTGTATTACTTTAAGCATTAAGATCATGTATTTAGTATGGTTTTGGGTACTGACAATGATGATTTAATATATATTTGCTGTCATTATTATGAGTATAGGCCCTCCATAAAACGTTCCTTTCTCTTCTTACCCTTCATTCTTCTCTTTCACTCATTTAAATCACCTGAAATAAAATTCTAAAGCTCTGCCTTTTCTGGATTATGAAGTTAGAGACTGAAAGACTAAAGGTTGCATGTTGCTAGGAACTGACTGCATCCTCCCCAAATCCATCTGTTGAAGCATTAACCCCCAATGTGACTGTATTTGGTGATAGGGTCTTTAGGAAGTAATTCAGGTTAAGTGAGGTCATAATGGTAGAACCCTAATCCTATAGGACTGGTGGCCTAAGAAGAGAAAGGGAAATTCCTCTCCTCTCTCTCCCTCCATGTGAGCATACGGTGAGAGGACGGCCGCCTGCAAGCTAAGAAGCAAATCCTCTCCAGAGCCCACCCATCTGGGCCGTGATCTGGGAGTTCCAGCCTCCAGAACTGAGATCACACATGGCTGTTGTTGAAGCCACCCTACTGGTACTTTCCTATGGTCGCCTGAGCAGACCAAGGTACATGGTTTCTTTGCATCTTCAAACTGGCTTCTTGACAAATTTCTTCTTAACAAGTTTACTACACCTCTACAGTAGCATTTCAACAAGTATGCTACTTGTTGAAGCTGCATAATCTTCAGGATACAGAAAACATGTAAAAAATGATGACATGACAAGAGTAAGGAACTTTATAACCGAGCTGAGATCTTTGGTTTGACTACAGTTCTCACAACTCAGATCTAATCCTCAAAAAACATCTTGCATTGCTGAGTCAACCGCACAGGCAGAAGTCTGTGTGCAAGTGGGGTGCCTGAGCAGAGAAGCCCATAAATATTATCATTAACAGTGAGAAAATAAATCACAACGTATAACCACAGTGTAAAAGGGAAGTATGTTATCTTTGAAAATAAGCGAGCAATGATTTATTTCACAAATTGACTCAAAACCATGTATCTTCCAAGGGTTACTGAGGAAGAAGTTTAGGAACAGAGACTAAGCAACTTCCCCACGTGCACAGTTAATAACTGATGAAGCTGGGGTTTTAGTCCCGGCAGTCTGGCTCCAGATTTGTGCTTTCAAAAGCATTACACAATCCACGGGCATTGACAGAGAAGAAGTTCCCCCACGATGATCGCAACAGTTTACCCTGAGCCAAGTAAAACTGAGAATAAATCGAAACTTTTCCCTTATCTCTTTGTAGGGCATTGATGTGAACAGGAGCTCCCTCCTTGCTCAATCTAACACAGTGAGCAAGTGAGCATCACTTCCCAACAGCGTTTAACATGATAAAGAATATATTTCATAAGCAGCAGCTAATATAGTGAAACACTAGATGTGTTGTCAATCAAATCTTTAATACAGATGAATTACCTGCTGTCAATAATCATTACATTGGTGGGTGGAATCCCCAAAACATCACAGCTCTGCAAAAGTTCTTTCTTACGAATCTCCCCTTGATTGTAGTAATTCCCTGAGGATGACAAATACACAGTGGAAGATTTAACAGAGACTTACGGGTTCACTCATTCTTACCTCATCTTGTTCCTCATAGGAGTTAAGCTACCTGAAAACTTTGTGGTTATGATAAAAAGCTGAAGAAAATACAACATTAAGATTATAATCAGACACTCCTGGGAGAAGACCAGCAGCACAATCTTTAGAATCACCATTTAGTTCTTCCCCAATCTCTGCATCTATCTCTCTGTTGGTTGCCTATCTGCCTATCTGTCTGCACGTCAGTTTCATGCCATAGGCAGCACTGTACATCTCAGGCAGCAATGGCTTCGGAGTTAAGCAGATTAAGGATTAACCCTTCTATAACCACTCAAGAACAAGTGGGGTCCTGAGCACACTACTAGTTGGAGCCCTTTTAAATGAATAGTGCTTAAATATCTGTTAAACATTTATTTAAAGAAGAGACTCCTGAGTATTACAGGAAAAGATGCAGCCTCATTCAGGAAAATATCCCCCTTTGAAACAACCAGCTATGCAGCATGCCCTTCTGAGACCCCGACGACATCAGCATCCCAAATAGCTTACGCATTCTTTATTTTCCCAACACATATACTATGCTTCCTAAGAACAGTCCTGGTAAGTGCAACTCCTCTGTATCCTCACGAATAATATACAGTGAAATGTTGGTATCACTACACGGCACTCACCTAGCTATGCAGTCTTGAATCAATCTCTGCAGAGAGAACTGCACGTGTGATTTGCGCTAGTTCCTCAACCTTCTTGAGCCAGTTTCTCCACATTAGTTTCTCACTTCAAGGTTTTCCTGACGGTTACACGAGATAATACACATTCACCCAGTTGGGTGCTCAGTATTAATTTCTCTTTCCTTGACTTCTTTACCTTCCCACTCCTCTTCCTGAACTACAATTCATCTTCATCGTCCAGATCAAATGGTCTTCCCTCTAGGAAGCCTAGTCCTGTTTTCCCCGGCAGATAATTATTTCCAGTATTCTGCTCTTAAGTAGGAACTTTTCTCTATGATCGAGTTATTAATTCCTAAATGTCACTTGACCTAAAAAGTCAGGGTCTCACTCAACTTTGCATCACCCTGGTGCCCAGCGCACTGCAGGTTCTTGTGGGGCACTGAACAGAGAGGTTCTGCTTCGCGCTCCTGGGAACTCGGAGAACTCCATGGAAACCTTTCGCCTTTGGCAGGGATCACTCAAGTGCTAGTTTTCAGCTGCTTAAACCCAGATAGAAGCCAGTCATTACATTGTATCGAACAAGGGGACTAACCGTAAAGTCTCCAGATAATGGCATAATGTTGTATGGTTCTTGTCACAATTTTCTGTTAACACTTTTTAAATGTATTCATGCCTCTGTTTCTATTTTGTTTTTCAGTTGCCTTACCATTTTTTAAAGACAGAAACTAGTCAGTTTTGTGATGGTCATTACTATTTTAAGTTTCTCCCAACTCTGTACACATACCCTCTCCCATTAAAAAAAAATATTTTTTTTTTTATTGATTTCGGAGAGGGAGATGGAGAAATAGAAACAGCAATGATGAGAGAGAATCATTGATTGGCTGCATTCTGCATGTCCCCTAATGGGAATTGAACGTGACCTCCTGGTTCACAGGTTGATGCTCAACCACTGAGCCACACTGATGGTTCCCATTTTGTCTTAAGGTTATTTGATCTGTTGTGAAAGAGTCTAATGTATACTAGTGATGTGATTCTGACGTTCAGAGGCTCTGATTATAGTTGTGAGAAACTGATGAAGTAATGTGTTTATGGAGCCAGTTTTATTGCTTTGTGTTTACGAAATTTAAAACAGGGTAGTGAGTTGAAGTTAGAGATCGCTAAATATTTTCATTAAGTTTGGTGAACATGTGGGCATTTCAACAGATTAAATGTTTGAGATTCTTCATCAATTCTTAATTGAAACACTCTAATACAGCATCCAAGTAGGGTGGCTGCATCCCAGGAGGCACAAGATAAACTACTAGGGTAGAGAAAAAGCTTTAGAATTTCTTCTCTTAATTTGTTTACCTTGTTGACTTTTTATTTTTACAAATGTCAACTTTAAAAAAATAAACATGTTTTTATTGATTTTAGAAAGATAGGAAGGGAGAGGGATAAAGAGATAGAAACATCAATCGGCTGCCTCCTGCACGCCCCCTATTGGAGATCAATCTCTAATCCTAGGCAAGTGCCCTGACTTGGTATGGAACCGGTAACCTCTTGGTTAATGAGTTGATGCTCAAACATTAAGCCACATGAGCCGGGCCAAATATCAACTTTTGTTAATGTTTTATAATGTACACATTAGTTCAGTGGTCCATGTACTTATTATAATTATAAATATATGTTACACATAATTGAAGTATAGATACATATTGGAAAATATTACCAAAAAATGTTTGAAGATCATTATTTTAGAAAACAAAAATAAATGGGATTAACATAGATTTATTTACCAGTATATAGAACTACATTTTGTGTGTGTGTGTATGTGTGTAAGCTTATGAATAATTGCATGCTTAGTGAAGTCTTCTGTTTTGTGAAAACTAACTAGCAAGCAAGCTGACATTTAAAACAAAAAGACACTTTGTAAAGACCCACATTTATATACCACATGTATAAAGGTAGACATTTTATTTTACTTTAAATAATTTAAATTAATTCTAAATAGGTAAAAGAATTATGTGGTTAAAAATCAAAAGGAATGTAAAAAAGTAAAGTCCCCTGTCCCACTCCTTTAGTTACCCTGATCCCTACCTTGCAAGTTTTAATTTATTAGAGGGAGAAGAGGACTGAGAATCAAAGCATTATGGTCCCAATTCCTGGCCTTCTACTAATTTCATGAATCTGAAGAAATTTGTAAAGTTCCCAGTTTCAGAAATGCCAGCAAGGTTTTTCCTTGAACATAATGACCAAGACACTTTTAAAATATATTTGGAAGAAAATAAGGTCAACATATTCTCAACTCTGAAATGAGGGAGTTTAGATGCTGATACAGTTAGGGTCTGCCCAGGAAAACAGAAACTATATCAAATATTTACATCAGTTTAAGAACTTAATGAAAAGAATTTGATACATAACTGATGGAGGATTTGAGGGTCAAACAGGGAACAGTGAAGTGACCCAAAGATTAGCAACAGCAAGAAGTGACTACCAACCCTCGGTTGGAGAGAGAAAAGGAGGCAGTGTTACTGGAGCCCAAAGGCCTGGGTTCCCCAAAGGAGCTGAAACTGAAAGAGCTTAGACCCTCTTCCTTTAGAATATACCCACAGAACCCAGTTGGAGAAATCATGATTTAAAAACGAAACTAGAATAAAAAAGGGGGGCAAATTACCTGAATAGACATTTCTCCAAAGATGAACAGATGGCCAATAAGCATGTGAAAAGATGCTCAATATCATTAGTCATCAGGGAAATGCAAGCAGAACCACAATGAGATATCTTTTTATACCCACTAGGACAGTTTAGTATAAAAAAAGCCACACAAAATAAACAAATGTTAAATTATAAGTGTAGGTGAGGATGTGGAGAAATTAGTGTAAGTGCTGTGGAAGAGCCGGTGACTCCTCAAAAATTTTAAAAGAGAAGTATCATACAAATCAGCAATTCTACTCCTAGGTAGAGACACAAAAGAACTGTAAACAGGGATTCAAACAGATCTTGTGTACCCATGTTCATAGCAGCATTATTCACAACAGCTGAAAAATGGAAACAATCCAAGTGTCCATAAGTAGATGAATGGATAAGCAAATGTGGTGTATACATACAATGGGGTATTATTCAGCCTTAAAAAGAAATAAAATTCTGCCCTGGCCAGTGTGGCTCAATGGTTAGAGCATCGGCCTGTGCACTGAAGGGTCGTGGGTTCAATTCCTGGTCAAGGGTACAAACCTGGGTTGCAGGTTTGATCCCTGGCCTTGGTTAGGGTGTGTGCAGGAGGCAACCAATCCATATGTCTTTCTCACATTGATGTTTCTCTCTCCTCTGTCTCTCTCCTCCTACCTCCTTCCTTTCCACTCTCTCTGAAAAGCAATGGGAAAAATATCCTTGGGTGAGGATTAATAACACTAACAAAAAGGAATAAAGTTCTGATATATTCTTCAAACTTTGAAAACATGCTAATTAAAATACGTGGGACATAAGGGGACAATTATTCTATGATTCCACTAATATGAAGTATTTAGAATAGTCAATTTCATAGATACAGAAAATAGAATAGTGGTTGCCAGGGGTTAGGGAGAGGAAGGAATGAGAGTTATTAATAGGTGAAATTCTGTTTGGGATTATGAAAACGTTCTGAAAATAGACAGTGGAGATTGTTAAACAATATTGTGAATGTACTTAATGCCACTCATTGAATCGAATACTTAAAAATGACTAAAATGGTAAATTTTGTTATGTATATTTTACCAAAATAAAAATATTTTAAAAATTAGATTTGCATTGAATAAAAATGTTTCAATTATGAGTTATCACTGTAAAACAAAGTTATGCCTTTAAAATTGGCAAAATAATTTTTAAAAAACTCATTAAAAAAATACTGAGCATATATCTATGCAGCCAAGATTAAGAAACACTGCCACATGCTATTATCAACCAATATACCTACACTTGTAAGTATGTGTTTTTTCATTGTTCCCAAAAGGAGCACATTAATATTTACCATTAGTGATGGAAATATGACTTTTCGTTAGGTACTCTGATCTATGACCATGGATAGTCATTAACAAGGCCAACCATATTGGAAACTGTTTTTTTTCTTTCTGAATATGACAGGCATATTTGAACTAGATGGAATGAGACGTATGTACTGCATAAAAACAGTGTTCAGCTCACTGCAACGAGCAGTTATAACAAGTATTTCCAATACTAAGCTCTTCAAAATTCACTACATTTTGTTGATTATTCCCATTCTATACTTCTATCAGGTTAGTCCTATTGCATTCCCTTTCTTTCTTTTATTATTTTTTTAATCCTCACCCAAGGATATTTT